CGATGCGACCTCGGATTCCGATTTGGTATTACCATTTGGCCCCTGAACGTCTCCATGGCGACTGGGCAGGCGAGGATTACTGAACTGATGGATTTCGGTGCCCTGGCATACCGAAATCCATCAGTTCAGTAATCCTCGCATCCCCAGTCGCCATGGAGACGCTCATGGGCCAGGTCGCTGACCTGAAGGATCTCAGGGGGCGTATCTGGATTCCGAGCCGGATTCCGATGTGATGGCGCCCTCGTCTTGTTTCAGCACGTCTTTTGGCCGCCCCCCTGGATCGCGCACGCGCCTCGGGCCACGATTTGATCCACATTCCTGGGCGCCCCCCTCTTGGACGCCCACGGGTAAACAGATCGACCTCGGATTCTGATTTGGATTCCGATTTCTCTGTGGAGGCTGACTGTCCACCCCAGCGAATGACTCTGACCTTACTCAGGATCGCCTGGACGCATGGCCGCCGCCCAGCTGCCCGAAGGGTCAGGACTGCGTGCTAGTGGCGGCTAGCAATGGCCAGTGCTATCAGACTGTTCCAACTCCGCTCAGCATTGTGAGCACGCGGCGTGCTCTGGCGCGTATCCCGCTGGCGTGCGTGTTCTCGCTCGTCCTTGGCCAGAGCCTCCCCTCAACAAGACTCAATGCTGCGTCGCGGTGGAAATCGGCTCATCCGCGAATGGTGTTGCATATCCAGGCCATCACGTCTCCTGCGAATGGTGCCTCGAGTACCAGAGTGCCTGCCCGCATGGCGACTACATACGCTGCACGGGGCTCGCCAAGGCTGGGATGTACCGCCAGTTGGCGGCCGCCATCATCTGGACTGTCCTGTCGATGGTCATCACTGGGTTCTTCATGGTGGTTGCCAATGGCGTGGACTTGGCGGAAACCTGCAACCACAAATGCCTCGCGTGACGCCATGCTTCAGATCGGCGCGGTACGTGAGGTCGTGGCAGTCATTGTGTTCATGCAGATTCTAGTCTTTGGTTGGCTTGCCACTGTGTACAAAGTGGTTGTCTTCAATGAGGGATGCGGGCCCCTCCCAGATATAGCCTACATTGAAGCTGCGCTTCTCTTTGCGCTTAGCGCAGGGTCTGCGCTCATTTGGTTCCTCGGCATGCTTGGCACCTGCGCACTCAGGGCCACCCGTGGCAACATGGCGCAGAGTACCCCGCGCGTCATGGGCCGCCTCGGGAACGGTGCTCTCAGGATTATGTGTCGATCGCGGTGCTGTCCGCGACCGCCTGGGTGGTTGTCTGGCTGCTGATGGCTTGGGCCGCAGCGGTCTTTTGCCGCGTCCTCTAGGCGGGGCCGGCCTCGCGCAGAAGCCGCTGCTTTGCGGCGGCCTTAATTGGCACCGTTTTCTTAGACGGGGCGGCGCCCGCCGCGGCCACCTGGCGCGCCACGCTGGCGCGCGGCCGGTTTTGCTGCGTGACGAGCGGCCGCGGCGCCCATCTTTTTCTAGTTTGAATGCGTGAATTCGTGCACTTTGCTGTACGTGACGTTTGCCGCGCTCGCTTCTATACTTGCACTGGTGCAGATTCTTCTCGTCGCGCCACCTCTTGCTGCGCCTCTGGTAGCGTGACACCATAGCGCTTCAGCGCGTCGCTTGCGCGGCGGCAGGCGGCGTGCCAAATTTAGCCCCACTCTTGGGGAATTAAGTTTCCTGGCGGCAGTTCGTGCGCGCAACAAAGCTGACCGTGTAGCGCCGCGCGTCCGGAATGGTAATTTTCTAGTTTGGCTTGCTTATGGGGGCTTTCTTGGTCTGCCGATTTCTGTCGATCCGACTTCTCCAGACTTAGCTGCCGATTTCCTCCGATCCGACCCATTTCGATCGCCGATCCGACTCATCGATTCGATTCTGGGTCCTCATGGCGGCGGCGTGGCGCGCGGGGGAAACCTCGACTCGCGGGCGCGAGCTGAGCCCTGGCAGCGGGGCGAACATTCGAACGAAGAGAGGCGACCCAGGGAAAACGGGAATGCGCGAGCTCCATATCAAGGAGGAAACCGAATCGGGGAAACGCGGAAGATGCAGTGGTGATGTGTGGTCTCCTTTTGCAGATGACTTGGCCGTTCTGCGAAGCATTCTAGTCGTCGTCGTCGTATTATCATTATTGTTCGTAGTAGTAGGTGTAGTAAAAAGTAATAGTAGTAGTGGTGAGACTGGTGGTCGTTGTAGTAGAAGAAGTAGTCACAATAATTAGTAGTAGGAGTAGTTGGAGTAGACGTAGTCGTGGTCGTAGAAGCCGTGAGAGTAGTAGTAGTAGTAGTAGTAGTAGTAGTAGTAGTAGTAGTAGTAGTAGTAGTAGTAGTAGTAGTAGTAGTGTAGTAGTAGTAGTAGTAGTAGTAGTAGTAGTAGTAGTAGTAGTAGTAGTAGTAGTAGTAGTAGTAGTAGTAGTAGTAGTAGTAGTAGTAGTAGTAGTAGTAGTAGTAGTAGTAGTAGTAGTAGTAGTCGTAGTCGTAGTCGTAGTCGTAGTCGTAGTCGTAGTAGCAGCAACAGCAGCAG